CACCTCCTCTCTGTAGGCTGACGTGTCGCCGTCTGGGATCAGCCCCACCACTGACGTGTCATCTGCCAACAGGTATAAATCATTTCAGTAATTTTCTCTACAGGATGTGTACTTACATGGAAGAATCAACAAGTTCTATTTTAGTAAATATCTTGAGAAACCTACATATGTAAATATTTTTTCAAGAAAATGTGTGATAGTCAAGCTGGTGTCTTCAATTATCAGTTTCAGCAAATATAACCAAGTTTCCAGAACATATATAAGTATAATGTATGTAATAACCCACACTAAGTTATATGTCATCCATTTTATTTAATGATACATCTTAGCTAGATGCCTAACTTTGTTTACTGCACACACGATTACATTTCATCCTTGTGGCCTCCAGGAGTCTGCAAAGTCAACACACCCTGACAATTAAACTGACAAAGATGTCACCAGTAATTCTCTTCCATATTAAACATACTCATTCTTCACCAGGACAGCCCTGTGAGACTTAACAGCTGGTGCTGCGGGGGGTCCCAGGGGATGGCAGACATAATTCATCTTTTGTTAATTAGCCACTTAACTCTGGTAATTAACACCGTTACCCACAAAGACACAAATTGAGGAGGCTGAGAATAATGTGCTTATGAATTTTCTCCCCAACTTCCGTACAGACATGAGCTGACACCAGTCTGCACACGATATATTCTGCATGACATTCTGATAACTATTTTTGAAACAGCTTAAACATTTTCAGTTCCGTTTACATGAGCGTGTAATGTAAGAGGGGATGATAATATCATGCATATTTACGTGAATTGCATCTATTTTAATTTATTTATTTAGCTTGCTCTGAATCTAATAACAGTTTTCTTTGCAAAATAAGCTAGTGAGGTGTAGTTGGACTCGTGCAGCGTCAACAAACGACGGCATGCTGTGAAGCGATGCCATGTATTCCGGCTGGCAGGAATAATGTAGGCACCTCCAAATAATCACACGTGAGCATAAAAAGCCAATTAATCATAGGCCTATACGTGGAGGAACCCAGTAAAAGACAACCAATCCCGGCTTTCTGAGGTTCCAGTTTGTCTAGTGGCTCACAGAGCAGACGATACCTTGAGAAAATATGGTCAGTAGTGTTTTTATTAAAATATACGCCTTTGGTTCTTTTATCCTGCCAACTCAGTCTAACTTGAAAAGACGGAATGTTTTGGAATGAATTCACAGATTTTATTTTGTTAAAAAATACAGTAGAAGAAATATGATAATTATAGCATAAAGTGGAAAATGTGAAGTATGCACACACACACACAGACACACATACATTTATACATGTGCCTATCTGTGTGTATACAGTACATTACATTACATTAAACAACTTACATTTTGCATGTGTGTGTGTACATTCAGTGAAATCAGCTTATAGTGTTCATGTCTATCTGGGTGAAACTGATCACTATAAGCGGATGATTATTATAACTGGTTTTTTTCCCTTTTTCTTTATATCTCAGGCAGATTACTATCTAATTGACATTTGTATATTTGGCGTGTGTGCGCCATACCTTCCTTAGTGTAACTTCCCGTGTTTCCCAGTCATTCATGGTTTTGTTGTGTGGTCCCTTTAAGGAGTAACATAAAGAACCTCTTCGGTCTGCTTGGTGCTTCAACGCAGTACAACATTGTACATAATATATATCTTATTGTAGTTTCGCTGCTGCATCTCGGTGGCTCATTTTTGCTGTTTTATCATAAGCTTCGGTGAGTCTATATTAGGTCATTGACAGAAAATGACTTTCTTTTCCCCGTCATGTTTTCTGTGCACGCAGCTTTAGCCTCAGGTAGCTAGCAGAAGCAGACGGGTTACCGCAAGGCAAAGTAGGCTTATCAAAGTAAAGTAACAAAAAAAAAAAAGAATTAGCGTAGTTTTAATTCTTTCTGTTTGTTGTAGGTATAAAAAAACCCAAAATGAACACTGTAAGTGGACTATTTCATTACTTTAAGTGAATTATTTAAATCGTATTTGTACAGGAATGATTCTGTCCCAAGCTTTTTGATCCATATAAACGGTTGATCACTATAAGCCTGATCACTATAAGCAGTTTCCACTGTATGTAAATATTTACAGTACTGCGCAAAAGTCTTAGACAGTCAAAAGAAGTGCGATCATCTGATTATCTTCAATTATATGTTTTCTCAGAACAAAACACATTTTGACATTAGAACATGTGCAAATTAAGAATGAAAATAAAAACTAACAGGAATTTCTTCTGTTTTCCAAAGATTTACTGACATCTTGCTGGATGGCTAGATGAACACCGCTTCAGTACCCAAACCTCTCCTCAGGGGCACCCCAGCCATTCCATGTATTTATTAAATTTCACCACCAGCTCATTTAATTCATTAACTAAATAGGTTTTAAAAGTTAGTGTGGTGTTGATTAGCCATATGAGGTATTGGATGGTTGCTGCAAACACTGTGGTGCAAACCTCAGCAGAGGTTTGAAATGGTTCAGCTAACACACTTTTACAGACGTGAAATCATAGTTTTATGCAAACATGAAGGTCATTTAGACATCATCTTCAATGACTGCCTAAGACTTTTGCACAGTACTGTATTTGTGTGTATGTGTGTGTGTGTATTTAAATGACTAATTAGGTAGCAATATATGACAAAACCCCTAAAGACAGGTAATCACAGGAGCAATTGGAACCCATGTTTCTTTCATTTTTTTTAATTTGCAGCGTGTTCTTAATGGCTCTGCATGGTTGATTATAAAACTCCCATTGTGGGTTTGTACACATAATCTAACAATGCAGCTGCTTTCTTTCTCTGTGCAAGAGGCTGTGCTAACACACAAATTCCCCTGTGCTTGTTGCATTTGTCACTGTTTTGCATTTATTAATTCGTGGAACAGGAGTTGGCAGGACCCCTGTTTACACAGTCCCAAAACATGCACCTAGCATTCTGCGACGATGATACAAAGTGGACCTGAGTGCACCCAGAATGAGGTGGTTATGGGATCGCCGGGGCTTATGGCCACCCAGTCAAATGATTGAAACGCTTTACAAATCAGTTCATTATGGTCAAAATGTGTCAGGCAGTCAGGCTGGCTACAATAATAACTGTAATCCCTTTGCATATAGAAAAAGAAACTAATTTTGTACTAATATTGTTGTAAAACCCTTAATAAAGCTGTTGACATGCATGACAATACACAATGTAAATATTATCTGTAGTGATACACCAGCAATACACCAGAAGCAGCACGGTTTAGGACATTTGAGTTAGAATATCTAGGATTAGAATCTCTAGGTTGCGCTGTATGATCCAAAATGGGGACTCTGTTATAGCTATTAGTGGGATATTGAACCTTAACCTTAAAACATCTATGAGATTTCTGTTTTATCCCACGGGCGGCATTGCGGACTCCAGAGGGTTAAAGTAACTTAGGTTAATATAAGGTCATGCTGGGGGGAAAAAAAAGAAAACTTCCACCTATTTCCTGTTCTCTACTTGCTTGTCCTATGCAGGGTCACAAGGGTCCAGAGCTTATCCCGCAAGCTACAGGCACAAGGCAGAGAATAACCCAGGATGGGACGCGAACCCATCACCAGGCACACTCACCTTGGCATGTTTTTAGACGGCTAATTTTGCTGAAACCCCCAAGACAACAGTGCTAACCACCACACCACCTAATCAGAATGAAATGGTTATTGCTTACATTTCTATTGTATAACCTGTTAAACTTATCTGAAGTTGTTGTGGGTGTGAGCAGTCAGTCACCCAATTGGAAGATGAGGATTGGTTCGATTCCGTAGGTCAGGATCTGTATAGAGAGGCTAGATTTGCTTGGGGTTCTGTCTTCTTTGATTGTCTCAGACAGAGATAGAGCTGCCTTCTCTGTGTAAGTCATAGAAACCTACGTTTAGCATTTCAGTCTGATTTTAGATTGTGTTTCAAACTGTCAGAATGTGTTTCCTAGGTCCCAGTTTGCCAGAGCCCTGCCTCCTGAACCTTTGCCATGTTCTGTTGCCCGTTTCCTAGCTCATGTCTCCGATCCGGGTCTGATCCGCTGTGCATGTGTCCCCTCCTGCCTGTCAGCAGTGCAAAGTCCTGTCAGTGGCCCCTTTCATCTGGTGCTGGTTTCTAAAGGACTGATGGCACTTCACGGAGAAGACAGCTCAGGTTGGGGTAATAAATCCGTTTTCTATTTCAGATATTTGAGTAAATAAATTTAGCAATAACAGTTTCCTAAGTCCTGTATCTGCATCTGTCTTTTCAAACCATGTCACATGTTATAGCTGACAGTTACAGTACATAAATATGAATAAATTGCATAACGTCAGCAGTATATTGAATCTCCTGCTAAGAGCCCGAATGACATTCCATTTCTCAGCTTAACTTCTTAATAATTAATGATTATTTATTAATTCTCCTGCCACATAGTGGGGTTCTCCTTTGAAAACACACATTTGTCAGCTTTCTGTAAGGAATCTGTATATTTTAATGTGCCAGTCAGCACAAGAAAGACATAACTAAAATCACTTTAAGATCAACCAGAAGGCTAAACAATCATTATTTAACTATTAAATGTGCACAGCACAAGTAGTGGTGTGTATAAGGCTAGACATTTATCAGAAACTCACCTAGAATATGAATACAATTTTTTTTTTTAAATTACATATTGTTACGTTGACTCTTTATGGAATACATAGATTATATATAAATAAAGAAAGTTAATGAGCTGTTTTGCATTTAGTTGTTATACAATGGGCACCTGTGAAACAAAATTGTAATTCTAATCAAAAATTACATAAATGTCTTTACTTATTTAGCTAGCTATCTTAGATAGATTGAAAAAAAAATTGCAGCATGACAGAATACAGAGAACTGCAAAGAGTCACGTTAGGATAATCCTTTGTGTCCCTATGGCAATAAGCAATCAGTCCTATGCCTACAAATGTCTCAGGTAATGAACCCTGGCTGGCCGTAATAGAACTGATTGCCTCATTAGTGTATAAATGGGGTCAGCTGGGTGTTTGTATTTGAATCTGAATCTGAAGTAACAGTCTTCTGGAAGATGCTGGTAAAACATTGACCTTGCTTTCTGATAGATTATTCACTGTAGAGTTACCTAAATAAGACCCAATCCAATGTAAAATGCAGACAGATGTTCACTTAAAGTTTTATTGGGTCACTTTGCTTAGAAGTGTAAAATGATTGTAGAAACAACATTGTACATGTACAAAGTTTTAGCGATTCACTATATTATAGGGCGGGTGAGGGCAATCTTATCCAGAAAGGGCCGTTGTGTATGCGGGTTTTCACTGCAATTCCCTAATTAGGTTACTAATTAGCGGACTGGTTGGCTGAAGAGTCCTCACACCTGGGTTTGAATAGCTGACCCTAAAGGTTACCCCAAAAACCTGCATACACACTGGGCCACTGCGGATATGATTGCCCCCACCCCAGGGAATGGTGATGCTATGAGTGCATTATACATAGAGAAGGTGATCCGACCTCATCCCACCCAATATTCCAAACAGTGCTGTTTGTCCCACCCAGAATTTTCCAGGGTTTTACTTTTAAGAATATCAATACATTTGTTGGAAGAATTTGGTTCTCATCCAACCTACTGACCGAGAGGAAAAATGATTTCAGTTGCATACGCATAAATGAATGTATATGGTCAATATTGAAACAGGCAGGTAGTCTGTACATACTGTAGGTATACATATGAGCTCGTACAGAATAATGTGAGAGGATGTGGGTTTGACGCTCCTAATATTGAAAACGCAGTGATGCCTTATGGTCTGGCAACCTAAGGCCCTCTCTTGGTGTATTTTGCCAACCCGAGGGGGGGGGGCATGTCTCAGTTACTAGATTCCAGCAATCAGAGGTATATTTGCCAAAAGCGTCTTGTACAACTCAAGCCGTTGCATGCATGCTTCCATGTATGTGGTCTTCAGGGTCGGCATCATGGGGGGGGGGCATTCACCGACCCTACCCTCGCAAATGAGCCGTTGTGGCTCCCCAGTGCCACCCAACAAGGATACCAATTTTATGTTTTAATAAAGGCTTCATTGTAAAACAAATGAGCCGATATGATGATCCCTCCCCAGGGCGTGGCTCACCCAATGCCTTGCCACCCTAACCCACCCCCCATCAACGACTTTTAACATCGCCCAGGGCTGGGCAGTATAACCAGTTTTTACGGTAGGTGTTTTCAAAGCAAGATATAGGATGACATAATACCCTTCATATACAATGTGAGAGCTTTGCTTTGACTCCCAGAAACTTGGTGAAGGGGAAGGTGGAGAGTCATAGTTACTCAGTTCATTTTGTTTTTAAACACTGACAAATGGCTCACAGGTTAAAATATAATTTGCAATATTTATTACATTGATAAGTAGTGACTTAAAATTAGGGTTTATTAAGTTATTATGTGCAATTCCAATGGTTGTCCGACTTTTATTTTTAGAGCCGTAGATTTCAGTTTTTCTGTTCACAAACATTCACCTTCTGCTTTAAGAGAAATGTCATAAACTGATGCTGTTGGGAGACATGGTGGAGTGAAAGGGAGTGAAACACTTAATTTATTGTCTGTCTTTATTTCCAGACTTCTGTATGCAATAATAAAGATGTCTATACTTTGTTTTTAATAGTTATAGTATCGTCATACAGTATAGTTGTATTTGCAAACAGAGAAGGAGCCCCTGTATTTGCTCTTGCCTTTGACCACTGTCTTAATAAAAGTGTCTGGGACAAGTGTTCTGGTCCATGCGCTGATCCTGTCAGCTGCCAGGGTCCTTGCAGATGTGTGTTGGCGAATTTGTCAGTTTTGGAAAAGTGAAAAAAGTTGTAAACATTTGGAAATGTCCATGCACATACATCAGGATTTTTTAAAAAATATACCGGAGGGGCAATCTTCTTCAGACTCATAATTTTACTTCCTGGCTACCTGCCTGATGGGTAGCAAAAACTTTTTGAGGGGTTCGAAATCGTCATTCTGCTACGTGTCCCTGTGTCAGGTTTGTGAAGATGTGACTGCATGGACATGGGTGCATCCTGTTATCTGGCTACCAGTTCACCAAGCCTGGTCTTTCCCTGGGATCAGACCACATGCCCCTCCGGCAATGCACTGCGCCACCTGGTGATGGAGGCCCTGCAGTGTGAAATCAGGTAAAAGTAACAGCATTTTTAACCTCGTATTATAACTACAATGTACATCTTAAAATAACACTTGTTTTAGGTAGCATGGTGGCTCAGTGGCTGGTGCTGTTGTGTCCCATTTCCAGCTTTAGGGTCTCAGATCCCGAAACCCAGTCTGTCTGTAGAGGTTACGTGTCACATGGCTTTCCGCTGGTACCTCTTAACTTCCGCTGGTACCTCTTAAGTTGTAGTTGTATGTTTGTGGCATAAAATGGATTGACATCCTCTCCAGCCTGCACCCCTGCCTTGTCCCCCCCCCCCAACTAACCAGGATAAGAAATATGTATTTGTTGTTATCTTAAAGTTCATTTAAATATAAAACAAAAAAGATCCTTATAGTATACCTTTAGTTTTACAGCTGCTTCAACATATTCTTTGTTTATGTTCAAGTGTCTAGATATTACTGGTGAATAAATCATTTAAAGATGCCTAAATACTTCAGGGTAACAGATATAGAGCTTGGACACGTCTAGATCAGCTAAAAGAGGATGCCAAATTGAGATCTGCCACTTAATGAAATATCTTGCCACCGTTTCTGATGCATTTAAAGATGTCTGAATCATTTACTGGCTTGGGGAATCTTATTCATTATACTGATAAAGATCTTAAATCATGTACAGTTCACTTTTAAAGTCTTTAAATCATATATAAATATAGTGGAATTATTCAGATATTGAGAGGCTGGATATCCCTAGATTCGCCACAATGATTTAGCGATCTCTTAATGTGTGTATGTATTTTCGCACTTAAGATATTTAGTTAGGACATTCAGTGGTATAGACTGATTTAGAGAGCTGTCTTCACTGTCATGGCTGTTTCCAAGGTGAAGGGATAAGCAAACTATACATTCAGAGGAACGTCATTGGTATCAGGATGCTAATGTGGAGGAAGGTCGTCTTTTTCTTTTTCCCACTAAAAGTTAACGTCTCAATTCTTTTACTTGTTGCTACCCATATTTGGGCAATTTTATCTGTTCATCTTTCACAACTGCTTGCACTGGACCAGGCCTTGGTGTTGACATGCAGCCCATAGCAGGAGCTGTGGCATGTGGCAGGGGGCCCCCTGTGAGGGATGCCTGTCCATGGGGGGGCGCTCATCTCGCACACAGCCATGCTCTAAGCCACTTATCCTGACCGCATGATTTCAGACAGTGTGAGGAACCCTCAGGGGAGTCCCTGCGAACTCCATTTTAAATAATTAATTCCTGATCGTCTTGGAGTGGCGGCCTGTCTTAATCCCAACACATTTCCAAACATTTTCCGAACATGACAATTTCATACTAAACCTGTTAATCTTAAACTTTAGCTTTATTTTTTAAGCGGTTTTCCCCTGAATGTGTCCCCCCCCCCCAAGGGTTAGAATTCATAGACTTCTACGGTTTTTGGTAATACTTGAATTGCCTAATGGTGATGCCGTTTGGGTTCGTTTCAGTTTAAATAGTACTTGTAGTTATTTTCTTGTCCAGTCCCTGAATATCTCCAGTGTAGCGTGTGTTTGGGTAATAGGCAGCATTCTACACCTGTATCAATCATTCCACTGGACAGCATGTGGAGAGTCCCTTGATGAAGTGTTTATCGCTGGTGTGAGCGGTTAGCTAAGCTGTAGCATGTAAATATGTGTCTGAGATAAATCGTGTCCTGTTCGGGCATCTTTTAGGGGTGAAAGGTGATGAAAGCTGCCAGGAGATTCACGGGAAGCCGCATCAACCCCCCCCCCCCCTCCACTGGCAGTAGAACGGGTATCGTAAGATTTCTTCCTGGTCCTAGCAGCTTGCACCGGTTTCATTGGAAGATATCTGCTGCTACAGTGCATTTGGTTTGGAGAATACTGGGCTTTTGTTTGAAAGTGGGTGAGGAGTGTAACCAGAGTCAAACACGTGAAATTGCTGGTGTTCCCCCAGACTGACTGAGCCTGCACGCTCCGATGTTGACATGGCATTTCGCCGGCACCGTGGAAATCGCATGCGGCAGTGATCTTGCACGTTCTTCCGAAGGCAAATCCTGCGCTCGTTCGCAATCAGCTATCATTTCCATTGGGGATCTTGCATTTCACCATGCTAGGATACCCAGTCCTAACCGGTTACTTGAAAACTTAACAATTAAGTACAAATGTATTGGCTGTAGATTCAAATAGCTGCTGAAGGCAAATGCCGCAGAGTTTAAAAATAGTGGTTTAAAAAAAGAATTGTCGATCCACACGTGATATATCATGGAAAATATGCTCACATGTAGGATTGGATCAAAACGTAGTGAGTGGCTCTGCCATGACCTCAGACGGCTGGGGGTGATTCGATCTGATATCTTTCGGCTAAAAATAGCAGGCCTAAGGCACGGTTTTTCAAATAAACGTGTGGCACTCATTTACATTTGTACCCATGGCAGCCAGAAAACGTCCTTATGTTAAAGTTTATTCTTGCACATCTATTTGTATCTAATTTGCCCTGTGGCTTTTTGCAGTAGTATTTGTAATATGTTTTAAAGCAGGCATCCCACTCGGAGCTTGACTGCGTGCCCAGCTACGAGGTGTTTATCCACATTACACTCAGGACTTAATTTTAACAGGAACTCAGCGTGGACACTCTGGATGCTCGGCCTTGCTTAAGGGAGCGCCATTGTGGTTTACGCTGAATTAGCCATAGTACATATTAGCGTTGACGACAAATGCTCGGTTAGTGTATCGATTCCAGTTGTAATGAACGTTAACATCACAGGCAGCTTAATCATAGCCAGCAATAATTCGAAGAGACCTTTATTTATGGTGACTGCAGATAGATTTTCCTAGCTGGATTCAGACTGGGACTATATACATTTGTCCTCTAAATATGAACATGGTATTAATACCTGTGACATTTACGGCTGGGTATTCGTCAGCTGCTTCGTCAGTCAACAGAGAATATGTCTGAAAATCTCTGCAGTGGAATTATTCTTCTCCAATGTTAACAGTGTCCCTCCCCCAGCAGCAAATATGTACCTAATCATTATTGTCATGACCTACTGATCAAAGAAAATGAGTGCAGATACCTTGTTGTATTATGCATATTAACATTATTTAACCAAATATAATCCTCTCCGATGTGTTGCAGCTCAACTTTGAAACTTGCATCATCAAGGGGGGGCGGGGTCCCCTGACAATGTGAACATTGTATGACTTTTCAGCGTCAGGACTCATGGATTTGAATAAATGTCACGTGTTTCAGTTCCTTGCATCACAGACGAGATATAACATTGAGATTATAATCTGCAGAGAAGCATCTATTGTCGTAATTCAATAAGCTCTATCCAAAGACCTGACAAACATCTGATGGCTGTTAAGGGGCCGTAGACACACATGTATAATCAGCTACTAATGCGATTACATTACTGAGATCATTGCATGTATTTCAAGTCCAAACAGCAACAAAGCCACTGATGAAAGTGCTGATGATTGGGCCTAGTGGGGGATCAGCACAAGCCTCCTGGCCATGCCTGCAGCATTGAAAAGATTACCATGGTGCTAGCATGTCACATGCACCCTGAGTGTGGATCCTGCAGGCTCAGATTCTCATAGCTGCATTATTGCACCTGTTACATGCTGCTTTATGCTTCAGTCTCACCTGTGGCAGCCTCAAAGCAAAACAGCGTAGCTGATGCAATAACTATGTGTTTCTAAATACTCTATTTTTAGCGTTTAAGATGAATCTGGTTTTGTCAGACAAAGTATACCTATTAGTGTAAAACTACAGCAATCTAAGAGTGATTTGGCATGTGTCACATTGAACCTGACAGCCCCAGAGTATAGATTAAATCCTCAAGGCAAATTGCATGTTTTTTTTTTAATAATATCTGGGATTTCTAACATGTACCGTGGGGTCCGGAGGGCGCTCTCTTAGAATAGCTTTAGGTTGTGCCCATGAATACGTCTGAATTCTCATAACATGTTTCCTTTATCCCTGTTCCTCTGTGGCACATGTTTGCCTTTGTCCCCTAGCTTTTCACAAGTTCAATATGGCAGTAAATGTTCATTTTAAGAGGCAACGTGTCTCCTCAAACAGCGCCCCAACATGATCATTTGCCAGCCAAAAGCTTCCGACCTTCTCTGACCTTGACATTTTCACATTCAGAATTTGTCATTTCAGCATGCAGCTCGCTTAAAGAGATGACATTAGCTGAAATACTCTGTGAGCGTTTAAATGTCTGTAATAGTTATGCTCCTGAATGCTATGTGTCCTGTGTTTTTGTAATGTGCAGCAGCTTCAGCTGTTGTCCTTCTATGTATAATAGGATATATTTTTCTATATGTCATATATCAATTTCTGTATTTATATAAGATACAATGGTTTAAACATCTGTTTATTCATACTGTTTATTCTTTTATCCTAGTTTTAAATTTTAATATACTAAATCTAGTATATTTCACCTAATAATACATAGTATGTAGTAGTAAATAATATAATTGTAATATTTGGTTATATTAGTTTTTAGTGAATGTATGTATTTGTTTGTTTATTTGTTTGCTTGTTGGGGCAATGTGTGGCTCACTTAGTTAGACCACTGTGCTTGTGATCAGAAGGTTGTCGGTTCAGATTCCTTCCTTGGCAGGAAAGTCACATGAGCCCTTGAGTAAGACCCTTAATCCTCCCCCCCAGAATGCTCCAGGAGTCCCAGAAAAATGGTCCAACCCTGTGCTCTACCCTCAAGCATCACTCTCAGCTGTATATGTGTCATTCTTGAAGGAGAGCATGATGGGAAATGCCAGAACTACAGAATTCCACTGTACTTGTGTGAATAAACACTCTTGCACATCACTTTATTGATGTTAGTTTGGAGAACCTCAGTAGTTTAAAACACCTTTCACTGTTTCATATGAAGGATAATCCATCAGTATAAATCTGTGTAACAGCCAGGAGAGCGTGCAAGAACTGTTACTACATAGGTATTTAAAAATCTGACATTTAAGGTAAATGGGGTGGTTTTTTTCCCATGTGTTTTTTT